CCCCCCGCCCCGAAATCCAGAGCCCCAGCAGAAGGGAGGAGGAAGGACCGTGGGTGTCAGATGCTCATCTGCCCACAAGCATTTATTTAACAGCTTGGAACGGGTCCAGTTTCTCTGGAAGAAAGGGACACTTTTTTTTTTTAATCCTCACTTGAGGATACTTTTTCCATTGCTTTTCAGAGAGGCTTGGGAGGGATGGGGAGGGAGAGAGAGAGAGAGAAACATCGATGTGAGACACATCAACCGGTTGCCTCCCATCGGGGGCCCGGGATCCAACCTGCAACTCAGNGCTTGGGAGGGATGGAGAGGGAGAGAGAGAGAGAGAAACATCGATGTGAGACACATCAACCGGTTGCCTCCCATCGGGGGCCCAGGATCCAACCTGCAACTCAGGTACATGCCCTTGACCAGGAATCGAACCTGTGACCCTTTGGTGTACAGTCCGACCCTCTAACCACTGAGCCCTGAGCCAGACCTGCCAGGGCAAGAAAGGGCCACTTTCAGGTAAACCGAGCCTGCATTCTGTGTGGGCCGGGCGAGCACAGGGGACTATACGTGAGGAACATAAAGGGCAACGCAGGCGGCAAACCCAGTGGGTTCAGGAAGCATCTCTGAGAAGGGCGGTCTCAGTCCCAGAACTCACTCTTCCATGCCACAGAAGTAACCATTTTTTACGTGTGAAACTCGCACGGGGCTGTTACATGTTTTCCCTGCCAACCATTTCCCTGGAGCCCTGAGTCCCTCTGGTCCCTGACACCCAGTTCAGTCCGGGGCTGTTCCCGGGGGTTCCCGCCTGTGCATATTCTCTAGGTGGGTGACAGTAAGCCCCGGGTGAAAGCATCACCTTCAGGCGCATGGTTTTGTGGATATCAGGCAGAGGTAGAAGGCTGTGCATGCTGAACTCTTCTACACAAACTTTCAGAGATGAGACCGATGGATCGGATGGGTTTTGAAATTTAGAAAAGACTGTTGGTTTGAGTCAGGGGTGGGTGGTCACAGCAGCTTCTCCCTTCAGGGTCTAACTGGGCAAATGAAAGTTTCTCACTGTCGTCCCACTTAGAAGAAGAGATCTCACCGTCTCAGAAAACAAGTGAATTGGGTTTGTTCATGGACTCCTTTATTCATCCAACAGACACTCACTGGGAATGCCTACGATGTCCAAGGCATTGGAGGGTCGAGCTAGGCCCAGGAGCCCAGGGTCTAGTGGGGACACAGGCAGGTAGACAAAGCTTCACGCAGGAAGAGAACAATTTCCCAGGCGGAAGGGAAGAGCCTGGACTGGGGAGCCCAGAGGAGAGGCTTGGGAAGGGGCCTGAGGATGGGTGCCGGCTGACCAGGCACCGAGGGGAGCACGCTGGCCTGTGCAGCTGTGAGAATCAGTATTGAGTATCGAGTATCGAGTATTGAGTATTGGGCTGGAGGAGTCCAGTCAATTTCAGTCTGGCTGGGGAGAAGGGGCCCTGGCCAGAGGTGGCTACTGAGTAAGAGCCTGCGTGTCACGTCCGGCCTTCTCNGGAGGGTCGAGCTAGGCCCAGGAGCCCAGGGTCTAGTGGGGACACAGGCAGGTAGACAAAGCTTCACGCAGGAAGAGAACAATTTCCCAGGCAGAAGGGAAGAGCCTGGACTGGGGAGCCCAGAGGAGAGGCTTGGGAAGGGGCCTGAGGATGGGTGCCGGCTGACCAGGCACCGAGGGGAGCACGCTGGCCTGTGCAGCTGTGAGAATCAGTATTGAGTATCGAGTATCGAGTATCGAGTATTGAGTATTGGGCTGGAGGAGTCCAGTCAATTTCAGTCTGGCTGGAGAGAAGGGGCCCTGGCCAGAGGTGGCTACTGAGTAAGAGCCTGCGTGTCACGTCCGGCCTTCTCGCAATGTCACTCAGGACTGTATCCTGAAGGCAGCGGGAAGCTCTGTAGGTATTCTGAGCAGAGCAGTGATGTAACTACATTAGCGCCCTGGAAGGATCCCTGTGGCTGTCATGTAGGAAACATTGAATAGGGTGGGTCCCTCACCCCGGGAGGCTTTCAGGGTTCATCGCAATGACCCCCCACTGTGTTTGTCCTTCCGCAGGAGCAAGGTCGCAGGCTGAGGAAGACCATGCTGGAGCTGGAGAAGCAAGGCCTGGAGGCCATGGAAGAAATCCTGGCCAGCCCCGACCCCCTGGACCCCGCCGAGGTGGGGGACCTTTTCTATGACTGCGTGGACACGGAGATTAAGTTCTTTAAGTGAAGCAGGCACCCCCTTCCCCTGTCTTATTTAAAATTTCCCACCGTACTAAGTTACCAGCAAAACAAACCGCTCTCCTGTTCGAGTAAGACGAGAAAGGTCCGCCGGGGCCGCCCCTTCTGAAGCCAGATCGAACTGTAAACTTGTGTTCTGCCCGGAAACTCGAAATGCCCCCTCCGCCGTGTGGTCCCCATCCTCTGCCGTGTGACATGTATCCCGTGTGCCCGTTGTTTTCCTGTGTGACTAGTTGTGGATGTCAAGCTGCTGTTATTGTATTCCAGTGGCAATGGACACATTAGCCTCTTTGGGGGATGATCAGAGTTCATCGGGTCTTGAAAGGCAGGCTCCACAGTGGGAAAGCAAAATCTTTTGAAGTCTTACACTTTCTCAGTGACAGTTTCTTTCAGGTTAACAAAAGCATTGCTTTGACTGGCCCAGGGTCCTGTGTGCGCACTCGAGGGAGAAGCTTCCCGGTGTCCCTTAGTTTGAGTCCTAGTCTGTCTGTATCTGTAGCGCAGAATGTCTCCAGCTGTGTCTTCTCAGGGACACATCTGGAGGGAAGGAATAAAGGGGTCCTGTCCAGTCCCAGCTCAGTCCCGATTCCCATGACCCTCAAGAACCTACCTTCTGTGCCCTGTGCTGTGTGCCGGGACCCACAAACTGCTTCCACGTGCGGGAAAGCTGGGCGTGTGTCAGCTGACCCGCCCACTTTAGAGCGCCAGAGGCAGCCACACCTGGGGCTTCCCGAGTCACCGCGTGGGTCTCCCGGGGGCACGAGGCCCGGCCTGGTTGCCGCCACCTAGTTTAGGGTTCATCAGATGGCCCCAGGGCATAGTTCCACCCCACAGAGCTGCGAAGCTCTCAGCTAACGAGGGGAAGGAGGAGCTTTTGACGGTTTCGATTCCAGTTCAAGTAGCTGGAATCTATCTGAGCAGCCGCCACACCATCTCCGCGGAGACTCTCGTTAAACCGATTTGTTTCCAACGTCGTGTTCGCGTGAAGGATTGGACTTATCACCGGAGCACAGAAAAGCGTGTGAGGAAGAGCAGATGGGCTCAGCACTGGGAACACAGAGGGCAAGCAGGCCACAGATGGAGAAGCATTTCGCTCCAGAGTAACAGCCCAGCCCCCCCCCCGGCTGCCCAGCCTGTTGTACCCCACAGAGCTGTGTGGGGAGCAACTGGCTTTCCCTGGGCCTTCCCTTTATCACCCCCGCCCCCCCCATGTGTCCCAGTAGCTGCCTTCGGACTGGTGGCTGAAGTGGGCAGGTGGTTTGGGGGGACGCTTACCTCCAGCTACTGGAACTCTCCGCCACTCTGGGAACGGCAGGGGGCAGAGATGATGAATGTGGTAACACACCAGCTGGCGGGAGCACAGCAGCTTAATTACTCCTGGCGACCCCTCAGAAGCAGCGCATCATAGGCCACGAGAGCTGGAAGGGACTCGCGTCCCATGTGCAGGTTTTATCGGAACAAATGTTTCCCACCAACTCCCCTTGGCATGAGAGCCCCATGATCTTTTTGCCCAGCAGGTATGTAAATTCCGGATGTAAAATGACTACAGGTGGTGAGAGCCGGGAAGACCGAGCTGACAGAATTAATAGCAGCCGTTGGAGGTGGTTTGTGGACTTTGAGACTTTTGTCCAGGTTCTGGCTTTCACGGTTGATTAACTGAGGGTCTCCTCCTCTGTGGAGCTGCCATTCTGAGAGTCTGTCTGCAGCTGCTGAGGGAGGAAGGGTGGGGGTCCAGAATGACATGGGTCCCTCATCCCCCCCTAAACGCACCTCCAGAGGGGCTATTTAAAGCAAGGTCACGTAGAAAGCCGGTCTAAAAACGTCACAACAAGGTCTCACTTCCCCCTGTTGTGGAAACATTTCCTCGGACCTGACATGTCTGGGATACCCAAGGTGATTCGGGGCTTGACCAAAAGGAATCTAGTGAGAGTAAATTACACAGAGGCCTGCTTTTATTATTACGGGCCAAACAAAGGTCACGGGTCACCAGCCAGCCTTATGCCACCTCCCAGCCAGTTGTGCTGTGGGAAACACAATGGGTGCTTCTGTTAGGGGGCATTGACCTTAGCCCAGCACTTCAGAGAAGGGCCAACCCTGAGAGTCGCCTGGGCTAACGCCCTACATCACGATTGCAGGGCCCCTGTGTGAGCCCTAGAGGGCGAGGCAGCGCTCCCTGGCACAGCCTGGCACAAGTTAAAGCCGCTGGGAAGCTTCCATGGGGCAGAGAGGCGGTCTAGGTACAGTCAGAGCCAGTGACCGCAGTGGACAGGTTCTCCGCACACCGAGAATCCCGGGGAAGGACAAGAAGAGAGCAGGGGATCTGCCACGTGGCCGTACTCACTTCTAGTGACTTGTATTTACTTATACTAACAGCTTGAAATACGCTGTTGGATCTTGAGCAGCAGGCTGTCGCTGGGGGGGATGTTTGTCTTTAAATGCTCCAGACAGACTCCGCTTTTGAGAAATGCGTATCGTTACACGGATAACGTCTTGACCGGGGATTGCTTTTCTAAAGGCAATATGGAGAAAATGGATAGCCAAGATGAACTGTGAAAGTAATGCTTAAAGGCCAGAGTGTAAATAGCTTCCTAAAATGCCATTTGTGTATCCATTAAGTGTTGGGGGGGG